GTATTCCTCAAGATATCGGTTCTTCACAACAAATCTTGAACAATAGGAGTCTGTCTAGTTGAGCTGAAGTTCTCGTCTTTGTAATCACTCACTCTGCTGCACCCTGAACGATGCGATTGTATCAAGTGAGATGTATTTCCTTCCTATCATGTAAAATTGACTAATGACTAGATCTTGAGTGCCATTTTCTGTCTTAAGAAGAAGTGATAGTTGGGAATTCTTCGGCTTTTCGTTTTAGACTAGGCTCTCTAGGCGGTGATATCTGGACACTGATGCCATTTTTGGGGCCCAACTGTTTTCTTGATTAGACTGGGAGTATGAAAAATGCATCTGATTGAGTTCATTCACGGTCTAATTGGTGGCGTAAAATGGTTCATTGCTTTGCCTTGCCCTCACAAATTGGGAATGTCCTAATTGCTTTGTGATTCAAACTTAATTCTTTCATCAATAGTGGGGAAAGGGAGAAGGGAAGGAAGAGGATGATTCTCAGCAGGAATTATCCATAGCCTGAAATGGGAAGATTTTGGGGTAAATGAGGACATCCATCTAGGGGCATGTGTCTTAGAATTTGAGAGGATGATTGGTACATTTGTAAAGTTTTAATCTTTCAAATTCTATGCTCTATAGAGGAAAAGGTACTGAGACAACCGAATAAGTTGATCTTGTTCACTTGCAAATTCATTTTTTGTGACATTAAAACGAAGAAAGAAGCTTTCCTTCCTGTATTGGACTATATGACATCTAGCATTAAGTGTGACCATGGTAACTTGATACTTCTTATCTATGATTGAATCTAATTATTAGTTACAATTTCTTTTTAATCAGGGTAAGTTCTGACATGGAAGATTCAAATGCAATGACCATCGAGTTCCTTAGAGCACGATTACTGTCTGAGAGATCAGTCTCTAAAACTGCAAGGCAAAGAGCTAACGAATTGGCAAACAGGGTATGTTTATTCTCCGCAGTGCAGTCTGCCTAGTTTTCCTTTTCCTACAACTTCTCTCTCTCTCTCTCTCACCTGTATCTCTTCAAATGAAATCAGGTAGCAGAGCTGGAGGAGCAGTTGAGGTTTGTGGCTCTGCAAAGGAAGAAGGCTGAGAAGGCTACAGCTGATGTTCTTGCTATATTGGAAACTCATGGCATTAGTGATGTTTCTGAGTCATATTACTCAAGTTCGGATCAGGAAGTGACACCGCGTAAGCTGAAAGTCTGTAATGATTCAAACAAAGGAGGAGAGAGCTCTGTTAATTCAAAACAACTAGGGAATGAATCAGAGGAATTTTCAGGTTCCGAGTTTGATTCTGCAGCGTCTGGTAGAAACTTGTCCTGGAAAGGCCGAAAGGATTCCTCACGATTTCATGGGAAATATAAGGATACTTCTATGAGAAAGCGAACCAGTCTTGCAACGATGTCCTCATCTTCAAAACATCGCCCGGGAAAATCATGCCGTCAAATAAGACATAAGGATCAAAGGTTTGTGAGCTTCCTTTTCCTTTTTGATAATCACGAGTTAGTAGTGAGACCTTGTGTGTGTGCGTGTGTTGCGTGTCATACTTCATGAGTCGTTCATTGACATCCTTGTGCAAGCATAGTATTCTATTGTCTAAGCTGGAGAGTCAGACAGGTCATAGGTTCAGAGCTTTATATCCAAGAGGAAGAATAAGTGTATAGGCCGTCCGTCTATTCCAGCAAAGTTCATTTCATTATACTCAGCACCTGTGAGACTAGAGTGAGCAACCGAGATTATCTCGGCATGTTTTGGCAGATTCTGCTCTAAGTCACCGAGATCGCTTAGTCACTTGAATGCTCTGCAGAATCCGGCACGTGCATGATATGATGCTTCCTCTGCACTGTTGCTTGGAAGAATATATTCAAAAGGTCTTAATGGAAGATTGATTTCTCAGCTTTCTTTTGTTGCAGACTAGAATCCACTGAGGTGATGAATGGGTCTGCTAAAGTTGATACTCAAGAAAATGAAGATGCCAAATCTTCCGAGACTTGCCAGGGTTTATCTGAAATAGGGTGTGTGGTCTTTAGAGACGATCCTGAATTGCACTTAGAAAAAGTAGTGAGCAACAGTCCAGTTTCGGGACGGGTAGAAAATGAAGGAAATGTAGTCAATGGTATCCTCGAGAGCAATGACGACGGAGGAGAGAGAGACATGGAAAGGGCACTGGAACATCAAGCACAACTCATTGGCCAATATGAAGCAATGGAAAAGGCACAAAGAGATTGGGAAGAGAAATTCAGAGAAAATAATAGCAGTACACCGGTATGCTTCCTCTGGAACCTGCTTGTAGAGAACATGCACTTCTCTGCTCTCCAATTTACATGAAGTTTTAAAAATTACGAAAAAAAAAGAAAAAAGATGTCTTCGTTGCTGTGTAGAAAAATGAAAATGAGAAGTAACTATTGCAGTCTGAATTGCTACTTGAAGGCTCTATAGCATGAGGTCGTGCATATAGGTTTTCGTAGGCTCATAAATAATGTCGTAGTCTTTATTTTATATTTAGCCCATGCAATTAACATACTTCTCATCGGTCATCATCTTTAGGATTCGTGCGATCCGGGTAACCACTCAGATATTACTGAGGAGAGGGATGAAATAAAGCAGCAAGCTCCATATCCTCTACTGACAGTTGCAATGCAAACCGTCGAATGTAAACTTGGAGCTGAGGATACTTCTACCGATAGCAAATTGTCGGGAACTCAATCAGAAAGCTTCCATCAAGGTCCACAGCTCGGAGTGGAATCCGCACAAAGTCAGAAAAACTCTATCCCAGTTGATAAGTCCCCCAATCAAGAACATGTACATTCAATGTCAAGTAGAAAAGGTAAACAAGAGAGCCTGGCAAGCAACTATTCACCGGCACAAAACCCCCACAATATGGGTTATGGTGATTCTCAAGGGCAGCAGTCAGCACATGGTTCTTCGCCTTCTGCGAGTGACACGTCTCATAAAGTTGAAACTTTCGGAAACCAAGCTGAACACTATGCCTTAATTCCACATGCAACGGCCGGTGCACATGGTGTACTCGATTCGCTCAAACAGGCTAAATTACTGCTGCAAAACAAAATGACGAGAATGCCAGTTTCAAATTGTGGACCTCTTGAAAAAACAATTGGACTGTCTTTCCGCAATATTGATAATGGGGGCAAGATGGATATTCCCGGTCGATGTCCTGGCCTTTTCAGAGTCCCAACAGATTTTTCGCTTGATGCTGCAAAAGCCAATTTGCTGGGTTCAGGTTCTCGGTTGGGTTTGGCAGGTACTTACCCAGAAACTGGAGCTGCGCTGTCTACCAATGACCGATCTTTGAGCACTCGCTGCTTGGAAAGCAGGCCAAGTGTTTTCGGCGATGATAGATATATCTCCAGCCCATTCAGGGAGGATGGGTCAAGAATGATTTTCCCTAGACCATCATTCAACCCCTACTTGGACCACCATGTGCCCAGTTCCTACGCAACGTATCCTCCTTATAGTTTCCATCCAGAAACGATGTCGGGAATGCCCTCGAGTGAAGGGTTTCCACGAACTCTTTCGGGTACAACTGGTGCGTCTTCTCACATGGATCCATTTTTGCTTCATGGCAGTCCTAGCAGTCCTTATATGTATAGATAGCTTGTCATGTGTAGCAGAAAAGGAATTCCTCTAGTTGAGCTTGTTAACTGCGGTTCCTGAAAGTCCATAAATTATATGCTTGTTTCTTGGGAGTGCGTATGGCTGTTGAACGAGAAACAGGCTCCGAGAACAGATATAGGCGCGAGTGCTTTGGAGCATTTGATGATGTTATTTATCTGTCGTGGTTCTTTTGGAACCCGTCTGACGTCATATCGATACTCTGAATGGTTCGTCTTGTGCTTATGAGCCATTGGTAGATAGCCCGGGTTGCACATACGGTCGGTTGGGTCGCGGCTTTGGTGTTGGCCAAACATTACATACGAGGTATCCTTGTGGAACGTTCTTCTTTCGTTCTGCCAGTAACGTCGGCAGTTTGCTATGGGCATCGCGTGCGATCCATGATTACGAGGTCAGCCATGAATCACCGTCACGATCCATATAGGAACTGAGTCAAAAAGAGTTGGATTTGGATGAGGAGGCGAGGTGTTTGTTTTGATGGAAGACCGGATCGATGACTTGACCACCACAACGCCTAGCTCAAAACTACCACAAAACTACCAGTCGTTGATCAAGGAAACGCGGTCGACCATCAGCCAACGCGATTGCGATCCCAGAAAAGTCATAATATTTACAAATTCTTGATTCAGTCCTTTCAATAGTTTGTGTTTGGCCAAACCCCAAAAAATGGTCAGCATCCTGGGTCACGGCCCATGATGAGATTTCGTCACGCTGAAAATTACATCGAAATCGAGGAAATACGTACCGTTGGAACATGATAGGGATCGAACGAAGCGCGTGTCGGATTGGTCCATGCTTCGAACTCGATTTTTTTAATGGGATAATGACACAAATGGTCCTTGAAATTTGGCCCGATGTGCAATGTGGTCCCTGAACTATAACCGAATGCGCAATATATCCTTAAACTCTTATATTGTTCAATGTGATCCCTAAACTATATAAAAATGTTCAATGCCGTCCTTCTATTAATTCAAGTTTAGGGACAACATCGAACATGTTTATATAATTCAATGACTAAATTGAACATGTATAAAAAGTTTAGGGATCACATGGAACAAATCAAAAGTTCAGGGATCTCATTGCACATCGAGCTATAGTTCGGAGATCACATGGCACATCGAGTTGAAGTTCGGGAACCATTTACGTCATTTTTACTTCCTTAACCAACGGTCAATCTTCTTATTATGTTACTATGCTCAAATCCGACAGCATTACACGGCAACTGGGAATGAACTTGAGGTGGTCGTCGCGCGTGTAGATCGATGCGCAAGAAAGACCAAGCCGTACGTTTGAAAAGTCCCTCTTTCTCTCTCTAGAAATCTCAACTGCTCCACTCTCTCTCATCGCCTATATATACTCGAGCTTGCACCACCATCCTCAGCTTCGATCCACAACCCACTAGCGCATTCGATCCTTCATCCTCAAAATCTTCCGACTTTCGACTTTTCGATCACCCGGTTCGGCATCACCGTCTTCGCTTTCGTCGGCGGCGGATCGGCGATCCCTTGGTTTTCCTCGAATGAATCATCACGGTTCTTCGCTGCTGTGGCCGGAGTCCCTCGGACCCAGGCCGGATGGAGTCGGGTACGCGGGCGGTGAGCCGGTGGTGCCCAGCGCCGCCGGACCGCCTCCTTTCCCGTGCTCCGACTACGCCCCCTACGCCTTCGGAAGCGGCAGCCCGTGCGGGGAGAACTACGGCTTCGGCGACGCGGACAGCCAGTTCTACTACCACGGATGCCGCCCCTGCGACGGGGACCAGTCCATCGACCCGTGGCTGCTCGCGCTGATGGAGGACCTGCGGGAGCTCTACGTGCGGCGCCGGCACCAGTTCCAAGAGCTGTTCCCGAAGCTGCACGACGAGATCGATCGGAAGCTCGAGGACGCCCTCCGGTCGAAGAGGACGAGGGAGGTGAGGGCGCTCCAGAGGAGCTTGAGCGTGGGATCGCCCCGGCTGCCGGGCAGGGACGGAGGGGTAGGGGACGAGCCGGCGTTGAGGCTCGACAGGTTTAAGGTGCGGACGGTTGATTTGGAGGAAGACGATTTTGTTGAGGGCGGCGGTCAGGGTGGTAAGGGCGGCGTGGCCTCCGGCGGCGGCGGAAAGAAGGGAGGCAAATGACGGAGATGAACAACGAAAAAAGGAAGAAGCATCTGAATCGGGCGGATATCTCAGAATAGTTTGCTAAACAGGAATTATCTGAGAAATAATTTCTTCGATTGATTGATTCATTTATTCATTCATTCTTTTTCTAACAGCTTTGCTATGTCTTTAACAACAGACTCTCCCATATTCATGCGAACTCTCGCGTAAAAATGAATGAACGAAAAAAGATTTTATCATCCATCAAAGCCAAAATGCACTAGCTGTGAAGAACAAGTGAGACAAGTATGCTATCCCCCAAGTATCGGCCCCTTTGCCATCCGAGGGAACTGCCTTTTTAAGTCTCCAGACTTGCTTCTATAACTCGACATATAAATTTCAGATTTTCCGATCCATAGGTTTTACATGTCGCAATTGAAGAGTATACTTAATCATATCACCTTACCGAACCAATAACAAGATCCTAATCAGAAAAGTCATTCTAGGAGAAGTTTGAGAAGAATTTAGAAGAACATGGCTTTAGAACACAACACGATTTTATTTCTGGGGTTAGATCTGCCTTCTCATTACACAACACATTGCCTTATATAGGCCCAAACTGATGTGGTTACCACTTACATAGTACGGGCATCTTTTAAAGTAGATGCATCGTCACAAATATAATTCACGCCACTGACTCAGCACACACTTCTCACATGCCTACTTTATTGCGGAAGCCTCCTTCTGTGTTGTCAACAGAGTTGTCCGAGCTGTCTCCATCCTTTTGCTGCCGATAAGGTCGAATGAGACTGTCAATTTCCCACTGGGACAAAAGTTGGTCAGCAACTGGGTCATCATGTTATCGCTAAATTGGTTATTTCAATCAATATAAATGATCATCATGACTCCAAATGCTCCATCTCAGGCTAGGCTAATGTTGTTCACTCATGTTCATAGAAGGTGAAAACGCGTATCTAGGTTTTGCATAGGCTCTGTGCAGAAACATCCTGATATACTTGAAATCAGTTGGCTACACTTCTATCCAACGTATCATTCAAAACAATCAGGTTTTTCTATCCTTTTTACGTCGACGTCCCAATCTCTTTGAGCACCCGATTAGTCTCCATCGAGTGCGGCGATCTTCTTTCTCAAACGTGTCGAGTACTTACCGGAGACATACGGATCTGTGCTTCTGGGGGTGGCCCGCCTATGAAAATTGAAATCGCTGCATTTGGGTTCACGCGTTACATTTGGGCCTGTAGGCAAATTGCCAATGGACCTGATGCATCATCAGATTGGGCTAAACATATCCATTCACTATGTCAAGGTGCCCCAATTTAGGAAAGCTTAGCTTGTACTTCCAGGATGCCAAGCCCATTTCGTACATTTAGCTATTTACAACATGAGGTATCTGAACCTTTCGACTCGACTAATCTCTACGGATGTATACTAACTCATGCCTGTCCACGCGTATCGGGTGAGATCTAGATCCGTCAAACGGATGGGTCGGGTTGGGTTTGAGTCGGATCGAAACTAGTCCGACCCAAATTAACCCATTTAACTTGTTTTCGACCTATTTTTCATGCAATGCAAATCTAATAACCCATATCCGACTCAACCCATATTGTTAAAATACTTAAATATTTAATCCGATCTAGGAAAATTCACACCCAAACTAAGTTAAGAGCGAGGAGGGAGTGAGCACGAGATCGAATGAGGGCGACAAAGACGGAAGAGAGAGTTATAAAGGTGAATTGTGTAACCCAACTCAAAGAATGGTGGGCATGGCCCTCGGGGATTACTTTGAGTGAGGCGACGCTCTTGACCAATCCCTCGAGAGTTTGAGGGGGCATTTTGAAGGGAAAAAAGAAGAGAAAAGACTTGTGCATTATTAGGCATCTCTATATATTTAGAGATTAGTTGAGTTGTCACAGCAATCGAAATTACTTGTCTCAAAGGCTTGAATTTCGAGTATGAATTCTGCATGGCACGATCTCTCAACAAACTACCATACGAAATCGTGAATCCTTATCCTAGCGCATAGTTGTTACATCAATTGAAATTGCACTAGAAAGGACATAGGAGCGATAAACTTAGTATTATACACTAAAGGTCTCATAATATTCCATAAAATCACGGCTATATATATATAACTATCGCAGACACCCCTTTAACCAATAGTTTAGAGCATAAATCAAGAACACCAATAACATTGGAGGCAGTTATTGTGAAATTGAAGCCCTGTTTATCTCGCGGAAAATGAATGGCATAGAAAAAAATTCCTAAAAACAATCGTTTGTATTGCTCGAAACAGTTAGTCAATAAAAAAAAATGTTTTCATTATCGATAATAAGTTTCGTCTAAGTATTTTCACAAATAATGAAAATATCTTTCATTTTTTATTTTTCTATGATCGATGCGGGCGATATTTTGGCTGAGGCGGGGAGGTGCTTGTTTCGATGGAAGGCCGGATGAATGACTTGACCACCAAAGTAACTCCGAAGAAGCCCAACGTCTCAGAAATTCCGTCTCTCCTTATCGCGCAGACATTGGACCGGCCACACCACCACCCGCCACTCAAAAAGTCAAAACCATCAGTCATTGTTCAAAGAAGCAACCCTCAACCATCGGTCAACGCGATTTGTGATCCGAGAAAAGTCAACGAGCTTCCGCTTCCAAGCTTCCCTCCCCTATCGTTATCTTTACAAATTCTCAATTCAGTCCTTTCTACAATTTGTGTTGGCCAAACCCGAAAAGTAACCGCATTCCGGGTCATGACCTATCGATCGTGTCGAGATACACGCGTGGGTTGAATTAGAAAAGTCTCGTATCGAAAATTTTGTAGGTTATAAAACAGTGAATAGATCGTTCGTGACTCATTGATTTAGGCTTTTCGAATGAAGTTCAATCGAGATCATTGCATCTCACGAATCGTTTTAGAACTACACGCCATACTCAGCCTCACAAAAAAACACACGGTCTCCAAATACGTCCGAAGCTAAAAATGTACAACCGTTCATTCGACAGGCCGTCGTAAAAACACGACCCCAACGTGGGTCGTAATCCACATCTCGATGTCTCTGCTTGCAAGACAGCGGGCAACTATCTCAGGATTTGATCTTTAATATTTACTATTATTAGCAGCCGCCGAAGCACGCGTCCGGACTGTTACAAACTTTGAAGCTGAACAGTTAAAAATCAACAGTCAACCGAAAATTAACTATCTATTAATATTATTATACAGCAACTAGGATAGGAATGAAGTCGAGGTTCATGCACAAGAAAAGAAAGACCAGGTCGTACCTTTTGAAAAGTCTCTCTCCCTCTTTCTCTCTCTCTAGAAATCTCGACAGCTCCGCTCTCTCTCATCGCCTGTACGTATATATATATATATACTCGAGCTTGCACCATCCTCAGCTTCAATCCACAACCCACCCACAACCCACCACCGCATTCGATTCTTCGTTCTGCCTGCATCGTATTCGGTTTCTTCGGCGCGCGATCGGCGATCCCGTTTTCCTCCCCCCCCCCCCCCCGATGAATCCTCGGCCTCACGGCGCGCTGCTGTGGCCGGAGTCTCTCGGGCCCAGGCCGGATGGGCTCGGGCGTGAACCGGCGTCGGAAGCCGCCGGAGCTCCTCCTTTCCCGAGCCCCGACCACGCCCCCGACGCCTTCGGGAGCGGCAGCCCGTGCGGGGAGAGCTACAGCTTCGGCGACGCGGAAGGCCAGTTCTACTACCACGGACGCCGCCCCTGCGACGGGGACCAGTCCATCGACCCCTGGCTGCTCGCGCTGATGGAGGACCTGCGTGAGCTCTACGTGCGGCGCCGGCACACGTTCCGGGAGCTGTTCCCGAAGCTGCACGACGAGATCGATCGGAAGCTCGAGGACGCCCTCCGGTCGAAGAGGACGAAGGAGGTGAGGGCGTTCCCGAGGAGCTTGAGCGTGGGATCGCCCCGGCTGCCGGGCAGGGACGGAGGGGTAGGGGACGAGCCGGTGTTGAGGCTCGACAGGTTCAAGGTGCGGACGGTCGATTTGGAGGACGACGTGGCCGAGGGCGGCAGTCAACAGGGCTGTCAAGGTGGTAAGGGCGGCGGGGCCTCCGCCGCCGGCAGTGGCGGCCGAAGGAATGGTGGCAAATGACGGAGACGAACAACGAGAAAGGAAGCGATCGGAAAAGAGAACACAAGAAGACCATTTGAATGGGGGCGAATATCTCAAAATAATTTGCTAAAGAGGAATTATTTGAGAAACCCGTGTAATAATTCATTCGATTGATTCATTCATTCATTTATTTGTTAATTTATCTTGAGTTTATTAAAATCTTCGATAAGAGACCTTTCGGATGCAAATAATTGCAGACTAATCATCGTCGCACTCGGCATATACCGATTCTAATTTGGTTACTCTTGATCGCTAATCAATGGACAGGTATCGCCAATCACGACTCCTAATGAGCTTACTTGAGACGATAACGTCCGCCCGTGTACACATAAGCTGAGGATGCATATTCATGTCTTATACAGACTTTGCGTCGCAACCATTTGTTAATCGTATACACTAAAATCAGTCGACCGTGTTCTTGTCCGGTGTGGCACGACATTTGCAATAATTTAGTGATCATATGTTTGTCTATCGACGAGATGATCCGGGTCTCTTTGAGCACTCAACTGCTCCTCGTCGGGTACGACAGCCCCCCTTCCCAAACACGTCGAGCGATGACCGGAGACATGCAGATCTGTGCTCGTGTGGAGGCGGTCCCAACAGGATGCGCGAGCGTGGTTTCTCTTTGGGGGTCACCTAGCCCCATGTCTGCAAGCTGTTGATCCTCCTATTTGGGTTCGTGAGTTACATGTGGGCCTTTAGGCGATTGTCAATGGGCCTGATGCATCGTGAAATTGGACCAACGTATCCATTCACCAGATCGAGCCGGCCCAGTTTAGGAAAGCCTGGGTCGCGCTCGTAGGACGGCGGGCGTGTATCGGGTAAGACCCCGCTCATAGGACGGCGGGCGTGGCCCTCGGGATTACTCTCGAGTAGGGCGATGCTCTCGACCGATCTCTCAACAGTTTGAGGGGGCATTTTGAGGGGAAAAAGAAGAAGAAGAAGAAAAGACTTTCGCATTAATAGGCATGACTCTATATACTTAGAAATTGTATTAGAGATGTCGCAG